ATATTGGCACAAAAAATGGAATATTTACATGCAAGGCTATTCTAAAATTATAGGGATTTTGAGGACAACCGAATCGGAAGAGAAGTTTAGAGAAGAACTTAACGCTGCCTTTACCTCTAGAAAAATAAACTTTGAAATTTATCGAAGCCTCACACTTTTTGACTCGTTTGTGGACTTCGCAGTGTATCTATAGAAATAGTGACTGAAATTAAGGTTGAAATTTCTCAATCCTATTGCCACAAATAATGTGTAATTCAAAATATCTCAAAATTATAATTAACAAATCAAAATTTACCACCGAAATTTGGTTTTGAAAAAAATAAATTAAGGGGAGAATTTTCTTCAAGGATTGAACATAAATTAAATACTTTTTTCTTTTTTTGAAAAAAAGGAATGATATTTAAATTTTTAATACACTGAAGAAATTTTGCACATTGGTGGGCGACATTTTGTGAGGAAATTTATCTCGATTTCAGAATTCAGATTTCTCAGATTTGTTGTTAAATTAATAGTCTTTATCCACACTTTTTGACTTTGATTCAAATAAAATCATTAAGAATGTCAGTGTAATTTAAAATTACTCATAATTGAAATTATTAAGTTTTGTTCCAAAATCATGTTAATTCATGAAAAAAAAAACTTCAAAAATTATACAGTTACAGTTATTGTTTAAAACGTTAAATTTTGAATTAAAGCCACATGGCTAGAGAGGGTATATATTATTTGATACGATCAAAACGTGCCTCATCGCAATAACGTCTTTAGACCCTAGTTCTCTTTGAACCAAATCCGTTTCAGGACATTTGAAGTCGATCTAGCGATGTCCGTCCGCCTGTCTGTATGGCTGGCTGTTGCGAACGATAACTCTCGAAGCGAGTATGCGATTTGATTCAAACTTGGTACATCGTAGTATTATTATCAAACTTAGATCGAGTTCGGAGATGGACACTCCTTTTGGTACCTCCCCTACAAAAGGTCGAAATTTTCAAAAAAATATTTTACTGCATAGAAAGCGAAAGGATAATCTGATTTTGCTTCAACTTTGCGAATCCTAATTTTTATATCAGTGCTAGGTTGGATGCGAAAATGGACAATATCGCTACACTCCATAAAGAACCTCCCCCACAAAGGATGAATAATTATAACTCTTATAAAATGTTATGTAAGTGTTCGATTGTCTTCAAATTACACACATCACAATATTTTTATTAACCCAAGGTCTGGTGTGAAGATGGGAAATATCGGTGCATTCCTTAAATATGTTAGAGATCGCACCATTCCTTCTGGTACCTCTCCCACAAAGGGTCAAAATTGTGAATACCCATGAAGCTCATAAAAAGCGAAATTAACATCCGATTTCATTCAGACTTGATACATTTCAATATTTCCATCAACACAAGATCTGTTATAAAGATGGTAGAGATCGGACCATTTCTTCTGGTACCTCCCCCACGTTAGGTTCAAGATTTTTAAAACAAAATGCTCTAAAGCGAAAAAAAAGCATCCAACTCTCTTCAGATTTCACAAATACAAACAATTTGGCTAAAGCAAGATCTGTTGCAATGATGATATTTATCTGCCAACCCCTCTGGTATCCTACCCACAAATTGTCATAACTTTCAATACTTATATCTGTCACAACTTGCGAAACAGGCCGGGGATTCTTTACAACTTCCTATATCTAAATATTGCTCTTAGCCAGGAACCTGAGATGAGTATGGAATTTATGTTTTCGTATAAAATTGAATATAAATATTCGAATTTCTTGTAATTTTGCCCATACTAATATTTTTATCTGTATTAGATGAAGTATGAAAATGAAATACTTCCGTGGACTATATGTGGTACCTCACGTACACTTTAAGCATTTTCTAAAAATTATTCCTTACCTCGTACAAAGTGAAGGAAGTAGCCAATATATGACCAAACCTGTCACGTCGCAATATTTATATCATATTTATTTAAGTCCGATACGAAATGGACAATATTGGCCCATTCCTTCGGAATCTACTCCATAGAGGTCCAACAATTTGAATAATCATAACAGAAGTCAAAATATTTTTAAACAATCGAACATTGGTTGAGGGTATACACCTATCGCCTAACCCAATTGATACCTTTTTTTGAAATCTTAACCTCACTTTTTTCTAAATTAAACGTCTCCTCAATTTTTTTTCATATTCTCAGCCACAAAATGTAAATTCTTATAGAATAAATTATATTTTTTTAGAAGAAACAAAGATAGCTGACAACATATTTGAAGATAATATAACTTTATTATTCACATTTAGTTATAAAAATTTTAATATTTTTGACTTTAAATAAAGGCTACTCAACACAAAATAGCCTATCTAAATCCTAATTTGTAGTAACCTTTTTAAATCATCAAGAAATCAGTATTAAAACATTTTTTTGATATATTTATTTATGTTAGGAGAAAAAAAACAACAAGTTAAAAAGCCGGACCGAACTTCGAATACCCTCCACCATTTATAACGAATTTGGTAATATTTCAAAAATAAAATCCGTTAAAAATTATGTTAAAATCTTAAAAACATATTGGAGTCTATGCGACGTAGGCCTACATAGGCATTATCATATACAAATTCGAAACTTGAAAAAAAAACGGAAAATAAGGAGGTACCATTATATCGAAGCTATACTAAGACCTGGACCTGATTAGCAAATTTTCTGTCACAGGCTGTTGCATCCATTACGAACTTCAGATACGACATCTCAAACAATTTCGGTGAGTATTGTACCTTAAATCGTCAAAATATCGAATATAAGGAGGTACTGATATATGGGGAATTTACGAAGGCCTGGACCTGCATTGACAATTTTCTGTCACAGACCGTAGTTCCCATTACAAACTCTAACAACGTAGTTTAAAACTACTACGGTGAATATTGACGCTAAAATCATTAAAATACCGAATATTGGGAGTTGCCGTTATATGGGGGCTATACGAAGACCTGGACCTGCATAGACAATTTTCTGTCATAGGCTGTAGTATCTATTACGAACTTCAAATACCAAATTTGAAACAGTTCCGGTGAATAATGTCGCTAAAATCATCAAAACACCGAATATCGGAAGGTACCGTTGTATGGGGGCTATATGAAAACGTGAACCTACATGGTCCATTTACGAACGTAGCCTGCCTACTGGCAAAATAAACATGTGTGCAAAATTTTATCAATCTATTTCAATTCGTTCCGGAGCTAGAGTGATTTCTACAGACGGACAGACGGACGGACATCGCTCAATCGACTTAGAATTTTATGCTGATAAAGAATAAATATATTTTGTTGGGTCTGGCATGTGTATTTCGAGGAGTTACAAACGGAATGACAAAGTTAATATACACACACTCGAACCTAACCTCACTTTTTACATTTTTTTTTTGGCACGTAGATAATTGAGTTAAAATCAAGTCTACCCAGTAACAACAGCTTTATATGTTTATTTACGTCAGGAAAAAAAAAAACAAAAATATAACCTCACTTTTTAAAGTGACACCTTCGAATATAACCTCACTTAGTAAATTCTTTTTTGGCACATAGATAACATTTTTGATGAGACTTTATTTAATAGGAAATAAATGTTATCAGGAAATTAGAGAGGAATTTATTTAAGGGAATTTTTCCAAAACACAGACATAACCTAAATTCTGAAATTTCCTGGACACATACCCATAACAACATTGATAAAATGTTATTCGATAGTGTATTTAATTTTATCTGTATTTTAAGGTATTTTATTTTTTTTTAATAACAGACATAATCACCATTTCTTTAGATTTTCATTTCTTAAAAAAAATAATAATTTCAAACAAATAAAAATTATTTCACTAAGTTCCAAACATTCTTCTATGGATCATGGTGCTGGGAAATATTTCATGCATTTGGCATTCATAATATGCATTTCAAAATTGGTGTTACAAATCATAAAAATGAACATCGCCCCTCCAGTGTTAATGGTCACAAAATTTTATTCCATTTTTTTTGGTCATAATACCATTTTATTGATGTAAATGTTATGGTTTTATGTGACGGCAGTTGTTGTTTTTGGTTTAAGATGCTTTAAGGCAAATAAAACAATTTCAAATTTATTTTCTTTTTTGCTTGCCCACGACGTTGTTGTTGGTATTTTAATTTTTGTGGTGCCTTCTTGTTTTTAACGAATCATAATGGGTTTTCCTGGAATTACGAAAAATGGCATAGGCAACAATAAACAACAACAGCAACACCAACAGTAATAAAGAACACACACACACAATAATATTGGCCATCATGAAAGCCCTGAGACATTTGGTAACGAAACTACTGCTGCTGCTCCTGCTTGGCTGGCTAGTGAGGTTTTTTTTATAACCATTGTTCTAAACGTCGTAATCGCTGTCATTGCCACATTATCATCTGCGTTTAGTACCCAACAGCAAGAAAAAAAACAAAGAAACAACAACAAGAAATAATTGAGAAATGAATACACCCACACACCACCATCAAATGAGAACCAATCATAGGGAAAACAGTCAGGCAACAACAAAACACAAGGCAACAATTTCTCTTCTCAATACAACTCTCTTTGGTGGTGGAGAAATGCAATCAACCAGCCAACCACCCACCCGTTGTTCTCTCAAATTTACACTTCATTATTACGGTACTCTTGCACATGTAATGTGAGCACAGGAGAGAAAGAGAGTGTGAGACTAAAGAGCATTTCTATGTGTGTGTGTGAATGTGTGTATTTGGGCAAATGTGGGCAATTACTGCAAGTGACAAGTCAATTTGTATACCTCGCCTTAATGCCCGAGAGATAATTGTTGTTGCTTATTGGCCAATGATGGCCCAGCAGGCACATGGTGTGTGCGTGCGTGTGTGTGTGTGGTAATTTCCCTTGTTTTGTGCCACACAAGAGCACGCCTTTAACTTTTTGTTTAGCCTCTCCTCGTGCTCCGCAAGCCAGGGACGGGTATAAAAACACCCCTCGTTGACGGAGAAAGGCACACTTGAGCTGTAGCTGTCTAACAAACAACATCATCAGCAACCAAAAAAAAAAAACTAAAGAGAATTAAAAAGAAAAATTAATTTATAACAAATTTTGAGAATTAAAAATATTTTAAAATTTATTCAAAAAAAAGAGAGAAAGAGAAAAGAACAATTTGACTTAAATGCATAAGAGAGAATAAGAAAAAATCAGTGATTTGCCAAAGTGGAAAAAAGTGCCAAAGCATTAACTGAACAATAGAATTAAATAATTAAGAAATACCAACAACAAAACACATACCAACATGCAAGGATACAGATCATACACCATGGAAAACCATCACAATCATCATCATCACGATGCCAACGATCAAAAGCCTTTGGTTGTGGACCTAATGTCCGGCCAATATGGCAAACCCCAGACTCCGCCACCATCTCCTACTGGTAAGTTTTCCCAACAAAAAGAAAAGATTTTTCTCAATTAAAAAAAAAAGAAAAAATTGGAAAACTTTTCCCCTCTTCCCTAGTGGCCTCATATTCATGACTTGTTTTTCCTTCTCTTATTTTAGAATGCCTATCAAGCCCCGATACCTCTTTGAATGGCAGCCGCAACAATTCCTGTGAAATTCCCGCCGATCCCTCGGTGCGCCGTTATCGCACCGCCTTTACCCGCGATCAATTGGCCCGTTTGGAAAAGGAATTCTACAAGGAAAACTATGTCTCCCGGCCACGTCGCTGCGAGTTGGCCGCCCAACTGAATTTGCCTGAGTCCACCATCAAGGTATGGTTCCAAAACCGCCGCATGAAGGACAAGCGCCAACGCATTGCCGTTGCCTGGCCCTATGCTGCTGTCTACTCCGACCCTGCCTTTGCCGCCTCTATTCTACAGGCTGCTGCCAACAGTGTCGGCATGCCCTATGCTCCCTATCCAGCTGCTGCCGCCGCCAATCCTATGTTGGCCTCAGCCATGCCCACCATGCCTGTCCATGGCCACAATCCCTATGGCCAGTACCGTTACACACCCTACCACCTGCCCAGCCGTCACACACATGCCGCTCCCCATCCTCATTTGACTCATGCCATGCCACCACACATGGCCGCCGCTGCTCCCATGGCTGCTGCTGCTGCCGCCGCCGGCTATCCCGCTGCCATGTTGGGAGTTATGCCACCAACTGGTGCTGCTCCTGCCGGGTATGCCAACAAAACCCAAACACCTCCCTTGGATTTGCAATCATCCTCCTCGCCACACTCCTCCACCTTGTCACTGAGTCCCGCCGGTTCGGATCACACCAAAGTCTTCGACCGCAGTCTAAGTCCATTGCGTCCTGCCATGCAACAACAACACCAACCCATTCAACTGCCTTTGTTGCAAGCCCACGACAACAACTCCTGCTCATCATCCAATAATAGCATGCATTTCTCCGCCACCGCTCCCTCATCAGCTGGACTCCTGATGCCCTCTGTTGCCACCAAACGTCCTGCCTCCTCAATGTCGCCACCACCAGCCCAAACAAGTGGCTTGGTTTCGGATCCCAAGCCCAAATTGTTCAAACCCTACAAGACTGAGGCCTAAAAGGAGTTCCCCTTCTCCACCCCTCTCCAAAGAGTACTGCATGCAGTCTCTCTAAACAAAAAAAAACAACAATTTTCATTGTGATCGTGGTGCTAAAAACAAAAACAAAACAACAACAAAAAATCAAATCAAAAATTGTACAAATAACCTTTTAGAAGAAATCATATTTTTTTTGTATTATTTGATTTTCACTCAATTTATTTTTTTTAATTAATTGTTAATTTATTATAATTGTAAATAGTCTGAAAAGAAAATTTTAAAATTTTTAGATTTAAGTTTTAGATGTTAAGCATTTATACCATAGTATAATAATAATAATAAAAACAAAATTTTCAAAAATTTAAAACAAAAAAAAAAATCTTGAAAACTTTTTATTTGAAAACAAAAGTTGGGGAACTAAAAAAAATGGAACTCAGAAAAGAAAATTAATTTTATCAGGTTTTCAAAAAAAAAAAAATCGACATTTTTGGAAAATTTTGGAAAAATCTGTCTAAAAACTTGTAAATACCGACGGAGTCCAATTCAATTTTCAATTTCAAATTTTCCATAAATATTGTGGTGGCAACGATTTTTTTTCAAATTTTTTTCTCCGGATAAGGATTTAAAAAAAAAAAAATATTTTAGGACTAAACTTGGAGTTGTTAAAGGTTTTATTTTCCAAACACTAGCTTGGATTTTTGTGATTTTTTCAAGGTATGACACTGCATTTTTCAGAAGAATTTTTCAAGGATAATCATTTTTTTCAAGGATAACAAAAGGTTGAACACATTTTTTTTAAATTCGTTCCCTGAAAAAAAATCTTTAAAAAAGAACGTAGATTTGTATTTTTTTTCATCAGACACTCAAATTTTTTAAGAATTTGTTTTTCAAGGACTTCCCGATGTTATGTACTTGGATTTTGTTAAGGAAATTTTCAAGGACCAACATTTTAATGGCTATGCTTGGTTTGTATTCGATGGCTGTTTTTAAAGGATTTAATTTCATGGACTATCAAAGCCATGAACATTGAGTCTTTAAAGAGAAATTGCAAGGACTATCAGGGCAATCAATGTTGATATTTTTAAATAAAATTTGAAGGACCTTCAGAGCCCATCATATGGAGTTTTCAAAAATATGTATTTTTGAAGAAATTATCGATGCTATGAACCGGAATTTAAAAAAAGGGATTTCAAGAACCTTAATAACCAAAATCGGGTTTTTTTCAAATTTTTGTTTGAGGGGCATTAGAATCCTCAATGTGGATTCTGATGCCCCAACAATTGTTTTTAAGGGCTTTTCCCCACGAATGTCACAAATGGAGAATTTTTAAACAATATTTTTAGAACCCTCAGAGAAATGCAATTAGTTTTTTTTAAGGAAGTACATTTTTATAAAGATTTTTTTAAGGATCAGCAGACCCATGATGGTGGATTTTTAACGAATTTTTCTCAGGGACCATCAGACGCCCCGGATGTTTTAAATATTTTGCTCAAAGAGCCTTTACAGCATCAAATGTATATTTTGCATAAAATTTCTTTCGAAGATCCTTGAATTTTTGAACGATTTTTTTTTTTGAGGACACTTAGAGTCAACGACTTGGATCTTTTTGAAATTTTTTCCAAGGACCATCAGAACCACCAACCTGTATTTTTAAGGTAATTTTTAAAGAAACTTTAGAGTCATAGATGTTGGTTGGTTTTAGATTTTTAATGACCTACAGGACCATCAGTCTAAATTTTTCAAAGAACTTTTCCCACAACCCTCAGGCTCATCAACGTGTTTTTTTTTTTGGATAATTTCAGATATAGGTTTTCATTAAATTTTTTTTTGGGATCAGCACAGGATTTCTGAGAATTTTTCCAAGTTTTTCTTTAAAGGATTACCACAGCCTTCAAAATCGAGTTTTGAAGGAATTGTCTTTTAAAAGACTATCGAAACTATAAGTAAGTATTCTTTGAAGAATTTCTTTCCTGGGACTTTTAAATAATTATTTTCAAGGACAATCGAAACTATAAACATGCATTTTTTCAGATTTTTTCAGGGACACATTTTTTCAAGGATCCTCAGAGCCATTAGCTTGTATTTTTTAAAGAAATTTTTTTACAGCCAAATTGCTATCACCGTGCACTTTAAAAATATATATATATATCCAGCACCTTCCTATCCTTCAATGTGGATTTTTTTTTAATTAGAAAACCTCAGAGCTATCCTCGTGGACATTTCGTAGACTTCTTTTCAAGAACTATCAAAAAATCCAGAAGAACTTTTTTCAGAATGTTTTCAAGAATCTTAAGGGCCATAAAAGTGACTTTTTTGAAGAATTTTTTAAAGAGCCTTCAACGTGGATTTTTAAAGAACTAATACAAGAAACTTTGGAGTTATCAACGTGGAGATTTTAAGGAATATTTTCAAGGACCCTTAGTGCCATCAGCATTAAGATTTTAAGGAATGGATTTATGAACTTCTCTATGCCACGAGCTTCGGGTTTTTTTTTCAAGAAGTAGTTGAGTATTTATTATGATTTTTTTTAAATAACTTTTTTCAAGGACCCTCAGTTCCATCAATCGGGAATTTAAACAATTTTTAAGGACCCTTAGAGCCATTAATGTGACACTTCATACAATTTTTTCCAGGACCACCAGAAACATCCCTGTGGATTTTTGAAGATTTTCCTAAGGACTATCACAACCATAAATGTGGTTTGTTTAAAGAATGTTCAAAGATCCTAAGGGTTACAAATTGGATTTTTTAACCAATTTTTCAAAGACTCAGGACTCTGAGGTTCGTAACTTAGATTTTTTAAAGAATTTTTCAAGTTGCCTCAGAGCCAAAAACTTGGATTTTTTAAATATTTTTTTCAAGGACCACTTGAGGCTCTTGGATTTTAAAGGATTTTTTAAGAAATATTTTTAAAGAATTTTTTTCATGCATCCTTAATGCCGAGGACCGAGGACCCAAAGATTATTTTTTTTTGGCATTTTTAAGGGCCCTCAGAGAGTGATTTTTTATCAAAGCCACAAAAAATTTTTTTTTTGAAAAAAAAAGTTTCAAGGACTATTGAAAATATAGATAGGATTTTTTTAATGTTCTTCAAGGATTATCGACGTCATTAAGGTGGATTTTTGTAAAGAATCTGTTTTAAGGATTAATTTGAATTTTTCAAGAACTATCGAAGCTATTTGATTTTTCTTTAAAGATTTTTTCCAAGGCCTATTTAGAAAGCTACAGATCTGGAAAAAATGGATTTTTATTTATTTTTGTTCAAGGTCTATCGCTGATTTTGAAAAGGCGATTTCAAAGAATATCAAAGCCAAAAACGTGAATTATTTTAATATCCACTGAAACTTGGCTTTTTTAATTTATTTTCAAGATTTTTTTTTAACGAATTTGAAAATTACTCGTATGCAGATTTCAGACTTCTTTAAAAAAATTTTCTATAAAATCCACGAATAAAGCTTTTATAGCCTTGAAGGATTGTTATAAGAAGCCATGTTCCTTAGCGCCGAGTTTTATCGAAAAAACTCGATTTCTTTGATTTTTTTTAAAGTTCGGCAGTCCTCAAAAAAAAGTTTTTTTTACGAATTTGAAAATTCCTCGTATGTAGATTTCAGACTTCCTTTAAAAATTTCTATAAAATCCACGAATAAAGAAGCTTTTGTAGTCTTGGAGAATTGTTATAAAAAGGCATGTTCCTTAGCGTCGATTTTTAACGAAAACGTCGATTTCTTTGATTTTTTTTAAAGTTCGGCACTCCTCAAAAAAAAAAAAAATAAATAAATAAAAAACCTCAAAAAATATAAAAACAAAATCGGTTATCCTAAATTGAAAAAAAAAAATTAAATATTATTCATTAAAAGAACACTCACCAAGCTTCGCTTTTTGAGATTATTGTTCTTTTTCCAAAAACCTTAAAAAATTAACGTTTAAAAAAAGTTTGAGGGTTACTTGGAATTAAAAAAAAACAGGACTTTTGAAAATAAAAACTCAGATTTTGAACATTTTTTTTCCTACAAAAATTGTAGATGTGAAATTTTCAATATATTTTTTGAGGAAAAAAAAATTTTTCAAGGACTATCGAAGATCCTTTGAGATGCTCCTATATCCATTTCTCATCAAAAATCTTTAATCCTCATATTTATAAATATCTCTTGCTCTTTTACAAGACAGCCCGACAGATGTCTGTCATTTGGTAATTAATGACCCAACAAGATATCCTTTGACATTGAGAAGAAGAACAAAAACAGGAATACAATTGCACGTGCCAGGACTCATTGTTTGGATGGGGAAGACACGCTGCAGAACAACAAGAAGTGTGACAAATTTGTCACAAAAATATTTATTGATAAATATTATTGCTAAATAAATGTCATCAGCAATTAAAAACCAACAGGCTTCCAACCGGTCGCCCAACCAGCCAGCCAGGAAGCCACCCAAGCAAAATGACCTTCATGAGAAATAAGGAATGCACACTCAGCTAGTGTTGGCAATGTAGGGCCAGAGTGAGTGAAAAAGAGAAAGAGAGCAGAGATGACATGACCTTAACAGTTAAAATCAATAATGTCAAACCTTTCACGATCAACGGGAGAGTATTTACGCTCTCACTGAGAATGCCGAAGACTGATATGTTGTGACTTGACTGTTGATATTTTCCTGCTCCACCCCGTTGAGTGTTTGACAAGTCGTGTTTTGTGAAAACACAGATTAAGGCCAACACCAAGGTTATTTGGCTTGTGAAGATTTGAGGATATTTTTTTTTTTTTTTTGCAAAAGGAGTCAAGTCTGAGTCAAGACTGACACGCGCATTGTGCTACACACCCCCGGGCGTTGGAAAAACAAAGGCCAAAGGTGGCCTGATCTTTGATCTCCCATTACGAATTTTAAATTCCAAATCGTTGTTAATTGTATAAAAATATTTGCGAGAAGACAATGGAGAGAAAGTGTGCCACATTGTGGGCCTAGCTGGGATATGACCTCGTCTCATAATTAGGAATTAATTTTTAGTGCAATATGTGTACCAAAAAAAAGTACACTACAGGGTGAGATAAAGAAACTGCAACAAAGTCAAACGCCATAATTTTTCGAATTTTTTTTTTTAATTTTATTGAATGAAGGCAAAAAATTTCGGAAATAGCATCAAATTTTAGAAGAAGTTTAGATTTAATCGAATTGGCCACCTTTGGCACGAATTATGCCCTTCAAACGGGCAATGAAACCGTCACACGCTGCCCGAATGTTGCTCTGTGGTATTTTGGCCAATTCCCGGTGAAGCACTTGCTTGAGGTGATCGATACTTTGGTATTTTTTATAGTGCCAACCTTGCTTTCCAAAATACTCCAGACACAATAGACCAACGGATTGATAT